GGTACACTGCTGAACTTATTCGAGAAATAAAACTTAAGGCCCTTCATCACAAACGTTATAAAGCTAGTAAGTCGAGCGTCGACTAAGAAGAGTTTTGTTTATGTAGGGCGCGTGTTAAAAAGATGATAGAACGGGCTCATGAGAGACACAGGGATAGTGTGCGGAAACATTTGGTGGAGGACCCCAAGCCATATTGGAATTACATCCGATCAAAAAGAGGTAGTCGAAATTCCCAAGTAATTTTGAAAGTAGGGGTCGTTTTAATAGAGCAGCAATGCACTAAAGAGTTTGCTGAATATTTCCTTTCGGTGTACAGTACGGAGCAAGCCAAGCTAGACGTAGACAGAGCAATATTAGAGGCGGGCAGCGAAAATGGATCAGCTAGGATACACTGATATGATGACTGACAGCTAGGATACATAGAATGGATCAGATAGGGGAGGTCGATCGCAAAGCTTAAGCCAAAGATATCCGCGGGTCCTGATAGAATCTCAGCTTACATATTTACAGATTGTCGCAGCTTACATATTTACATTTTTAATAAGTGATTAGAATTAGAGGATTTTCCAGATATATGGAAAACTACGCTAGTGATTCGATTACCTAAAAGTAGTCCAGGATTGTCTATTGACAAGTATAGACCGGTGGCGATGTTATCAACGCCAGCTAAAGTTAAAGTAAAGTTTTTGAAGCAGCTATACAAAAAAGTATTATTTGATCAGGTGAATGCGCAACTCCCAGATGCACGGCATGGTTTCCGTCCAGGTCGAAGTACTACAAGCAACCTTTTAAATTACGTAACGGAAATTATGCCAGTGATAGATCATAGCAGAGGCCAGTTAGACGCTGCATATTTTGATTTTCGTAAAGCTTTTGATGTGGTAGATTATGATAGCCTACTAAGGAAGCTGACTGGTGTAGGTTGCACTAACTGCTTCCCTGCTTACTAAAATTTCTGGCAAGTTACATGGAGAACCGGCAAATACGTTGAGTATGCTGGTTACCGATCACAGCCGTATTTGTCAGATCAGGCGTGAGCCAAGGGAGCAATCTCGGGCCTCTTCAATTTACTATTATGGTAAATGATTTACCGAATGTTATTAATCATTCAAGCTTCTTACTATTTTCGGACATCGAGAATATTTCGGATGACCTTAAACTGTTTAGTTCAGTTAAAGGAGATGGGGACCATGCACGGCTTCAAAGTTATATAGACAAAGTGGTGGTATCGGGCAAAAACAATAAGCTTCAATTTAACATCTCTAAGTGTTTGATGATTTCATTTAGTACAGCTCGTAACCCCATTCGCTATGAATATAAAGTCGATAAGGTGCTTATGAGAAGAGTGACGGAGGTAAAGGATCTAGGAGTATTATTTACAGCAGAATAAACGTTTCGCGGGCATATTGAAGCGTACAGAAATTTGGGGTTGATTCTTCGTGGGGTTCACGGGTTTACGAGTATTAGTGCTATTATTGCATTGTATGATGCCCTTGTAAGAAGCCTCCTGAGTGTAATGCGGTAGTGTGGGTCCCACATCAAACGCGGTACAGTCTTATGCTGGAGGGCATTCAAGACAAATTCCTGAGATATCTGTACCGGAGGCAATACGGTGTTTACCCCATCTGTTCATTTTGGGTATGGTGGGATATAAAGAGCTACACGTGCGCAGGACCTTAGCGTTAGCAGTGTACGTGTTGAAGGTTATCAAAGGTATGGTATGCTATGTAATCCGATGCTACTAGGGGTATTAGGATTATGTGTTCCTGATAGGTACGTCGGGCGAAGTCGCCGTTCACCGCTACAGGCAGTGTCCCTTGGAAGGACAAATCGCATGACGGAATGTTAGCTAACGCGCACACTGCACACCCTGAACGAAATATCGAATAGGATCGATCTGTTCCATTGTTCTCTGAGTGAATTCACAAAGATAGCGCTTTATATCTTGTGTTACATGAAGTAATATTGCTGGTTCTTTGCATTGGGTGGATAATCTGTAATAATAGATTCAGTTTGGAAATAAATAAATACATAAATATTTTTTTATAATACCCAGTGACGGGACGAACAAGTTGTGCACGTGGTAGTAAGCGACACACCTGTTCACATCAGTTGCAGTGCCACGAAGAGCTTTAAATTGCATGATCTGAGAGGCACTGCTACTGCGTCCCTTATCCTGAGACATAAATTGAAAAGTCCCATGTACCTATAATTTCACCAATATCTATCTTTACTTGCTATATCAATATAGTTATTTTTGCAAATAAACTTGGTATACAACTTTAGGTTATCAGTAGTAATAACCTATTTTTGAAATAACCGGTTAGATGACTGCTCTTTCCGTTTGTACAATTTACATACAGGTGCTATAAAATGTTATTACTTTTTGTGTACGTGTTATAGTTATATAAGAAGAAATATGTATCTTTTCTAATTTCAGAATGTTGTAAAATAAAATACATATTCAGAGTACTTTGTGTATCAAATAACAATATCATTGTAGCTATAATGTTATATTTTACAATATTAAATATGAATACTAAACTTTTTGCTATAATAAGTGATTTCAAGTAAGTAGAACGTACACAAAAGCTGTGACTTCAAAAAATGTCATTGGAACCTTAAAAGTGCTTTTTTGAAACAACAAAAATTAGTTACTACCTTTTCAAACTTTTATCTTTTTATGTGTCAGTTATGACCAGTGATGGGAATTCAGGGAGTTGATTTAGCTAAAGTAATGAATAATGTGGACATCCCCTTCTCATCATCAGATGTCATTTAAAATTGACATTGTATATTATTTATGTTCTTTTTAATTTATGACGGTTTGTTTATTTTAGTATTGCGACTGATGTTATTTTATGAGTGTCTATAAAAAGGTATGAAACTTTGTATGCCATAAGGCCGATCTCAGTGGCTTATGTAACCTGTGTATCACGAAGAAATACTGCCGCCGTTAGTTGAAAGGGCGCTAGTTTTCTTCTTCTTTATAATGTTATAGCTCCATTGATGATTCCACCAATATTTAATTAAGAAACATGCACATTTTACTTAAAATTTAACTGGTGAATTTCAACAGAAATCACTGAGAGAAGAATCTACAACAACAGATAACTTCCACAGACTATCACAGAAACAAATTTATTTTAAAAATAAATTTACACATGACATACGCAAAGGGAGAGTGGACTAACATTAGGAGAATGTTGATATTAACGGGACGGGGGATGTAAGGTGGGAGGATATCATACAGAGGGCGCTAGTCTAATATCTACTTTTCACTTGCAGTAACTGCATATCTTATCCACGTAGCTAGGAAATAATAAAGTACTGACAGATCTTATCGCGGATATAGGACATGTACAATTTTTCCAAAAAATTTGTCATTTGTCATAATGGTGGCAGAATAAATTGATTTCAATTGCTTGCAGCCATATGCAATGGCTGTCTAGAGCATATATAATTATTATTATTTCTGATACCAATTTTAGATTCTCGCCTCTCCCATGGCCTAAAATGTATAGTTGTAAGAAACATGTAATTAGTGACATTCAAATCATTTATCCAGTAATTTAGTTGCTCCAAGTACTCACAACAGGGGGAATTCCGTAGTGTAAGTTATTTTTTTAAGAAGTTTAAGATAAGGTAATTGGTATGATTGTCTGGCACATTATTATAAATTAATATACTATACATAATGTGCCCAGCACAGCATTGACATAGTAAATGCAGAAGAATCAAGATAACCCTAACAATAGTTTGAAATTAGACAAACAATTCATAAATGATAATAGCAAGGTTATTGATAGTGGCATTATACACAGAGACAATCAACCGCGTTAGTAGTAACCTACAGATGGTTATCACAGCAAACTTTCAAAAATACGAGCACGACAGATCTTGACTTCAGAAATACTCACAAAACTTGCCATAAAATTGCATTTATGTAACAAATAAATTTTATATAAGTTAAATAAACAGGCGTTTTTTTTTGTAACATCCAATATATAGCTGAAGAGTTGTGCATATTATTAAATTCAATAATTACATAAAGGATAATAAAAAAAAACAACTTGTTTAAGTTTGTAATAAAAATGAAATCATACTCACGTTTTAGTTGAGAAACAAAATATTTTATGTTGGCACAATATTTGTTTAACAAATTTGCTGGTTTTATGAATTTAATTAAATAAATTTAGGTTAAGCGCGCGTAGTTACGTACGTACTTCCCGCGTACTCTTCGCCACCACTCACACAAACTACTAATACAACAAGACCACTGGCCACTCATCCGATAACCATAGAGAATATAGACATAGTTGTCACCTGACAGCTGATTAGACATTGACATGTATCAACAGCAGGGGTGCGTTTAAGACCGCAGGCTAAAAATTCGCCAACTAAAAATTAATCTGCCGAGGCATCCGTGAACGGAGTCTTAGGTTTATGTCAATGTAAGCTGCCAAATTCAAATGACAACTGTTATAAGTACCTAATTCAAACTTTATTAAACTAGCAGAAACAACAAACAGCTGTCAATAGTGTCAATCTGACAGCAGGTTAAAATTTCGTGACCTAAAAAGCACGCGAAAATTTATCCCAACTAGGCTAAATTTTATCCTAGCCGACGTCCGTGAACGGGGTAGATAAAATTTTCACAGATTAAATTTTCGCCTGACAGAGTGCTTAAACGGGGTGTATAACGTTATGTCAGGTTAAAATTTATCCCGGCTAGCGTCCTTAAACGCACCCCAGATGTTTTGGAAATTCGTTTAAAAGAAAAAAGTAAATGTGAGAAAATTGAATTAATGAAGAAAATTACAATTTGTGATCTATTAACCTGTCCCGAATCCCGAAGGACGGAAAATATTTACTATTCTTTGTAGAAAAAATCTTCTTTACCGCTAATCGATTCATCGGCACCTTTTCTTTGAATGGAACACGCCTAATCTAAATAAAGTTGTTTTAAAAGTTTATTGTTTGTCTATAGTCAGCCTCGGTTGACATTTTTATAATTTTTCATGAAAATTTCCGATTTCCAATTTCACGAATTTTCAGCCATCTAGTTCTATTTTAAGACGCATGAGTGATAAGAGTTTCTTGAGATTTTCGAGTTGATTTCGTTTCTGTTGTTATGTTTTGCGTGCGAAGCTTGAGGTGCGGGTGTGGTTCTATGAATAGTGTAGAGGTTGAGTTAGGCTCGGATTGAACTGTATCTCTGGTAATATGCAATGCACATGCTGTGGTTGGAAGGGGCGATGGCTGCTGTTGGTAGTGGTGGTAGCGCTGGCACCGCTGGTGCTGGCACAGAACATCGGCGACCCGTACAAGATCCTCGGAATCCACCGCAAAGCTTCTCTACCCGAGATTCGTAAAGCCTACAGGCAATTGGCTAAAGAATGGTAAGTTTATTTATTAAATTAGTTTGGAACACTAATTTCAACGTCTTCCGCGCTTCCATTGACTTCGAACTGCATCAATAACATTGATAATGGATTGGTATGCCAAATTCTATACTGTGATATTCTTGTTTTGTTTCTGACTATAGTTATACTTCGGGTTTTTGTCAGGCAGTTATCAGAAACTCACAGTTTTTAAATTTAAATGTATAAACTGAATATTTAAAGGTGTTTAATATTTTGATTTGTCATAATAAGCCAACAGGTTTGACCTACAGCTTCTCAAGTAGATTTGATGTTTACTTGTAAAAAGAAAACTTTTACTGTTATGCTTGTTGTTGTTGGGGAATTGTAGTTAATCACAACAATTCATAATTATTGTTAACCACAACAATTCATAAATTCTGAGGTCTACTCTCATTCTCTGCCGGACATCTGTTTGAAATAATTACTGTCAAATAAATAATATTCAATTAAACAAAAGACAATATCAAGTATGAAGCTTAATTGTCATGGACGGAGAACAGGAGTATAGGGCCAGAGGTGACATCAGCAAAAGTTTTAATTTTACAAGTAAATTTTAGAACTAACTATCAATCCGCAATGTAACGGACTATGGCCTAAACACTTCCATGCGAGGAGATCCGTGTCCAGCAGTGTGACGTGTAAATGGGTTGATAATGATGAAACCAGCATGAAGCTTGTTGTGTGTGTTGATATGTGGTCAAATTAACAAGTAATTTTTGTATACCATTTGAAACTTTGATATCTCGTCCCAATCACTTTACTAGAGTCCCATAACTGGCAATACTAATACTAACCACCTATGAAATTGCCAAATTTTAGTGAAATCAAATGTTTTAATTTGTAGCTTATACATTTCTGATTTTCTTATAACTGAAACAATTTTAAATAAAAGTTATTATTCAGAACAATAGTTGATTTAATTATTAATACAAAGATCGAACACTCAGAAAAAATTCCTTTGATCCGGTCGGATTCGAACTGACGTCTTCTTGCATACCGTGCCAGACGCTATACCAACTAAGCCACGGAACAAACCAACGGACCTCACGAATTTTTCTATGTGCTTGCGTCGTGTCTTTGTACTTGGTCTTTCAATGACTTTTTAAGTAGTCGTAGCACCATCTACGAGAAATCTATGAAAGATTTATCACCCAGTTAGTACCTTTACAGCTACCAGTCCTGGCGAGAGATGTCGCTATTCACTGTATTGATTAAATTTTTATTGAATTGATATTCAATTATTTTTTGTGAAATTACTCCACTCCACACAAAAAATAATCGAATATCAATTCAATAAAAATTTAATCAATAGTTGGTTTAACTCACAAATTAGAAAGATATAGTAGGAAACAGGTTCATCTTCTCGCTCAGAAACCCATCTGATTTCGAGACTACCCAATCGGATCGATTCCAATGTGAATCAAAATCAGGATGCAGGTCTTATGATCGTGGCTGCGTGATCAGATCAATTCAGTCAAGTCCATCAGACCATGGGACATATAAAGGGCCGACAACATTACTTTGTTGTAGCTATCGCGAAAACTTAAGAACTAAACAATGGATCGTAAATCTAGGTACAAAATGCATTAGACCTCTTTGCTAATATAAATTGTGTGATTGTCAAATTCATAGGTACAAATTTACTAAAACGTACTAACTCCTTAACAGGCATCCAGACAAAAATGAAGATCCAAAGGCAGAATCTCGATTCGTTGAAATAAAACAAGCATATGAACTGCTGTCAGATACAGAACGGAGGCAGGCATATGACCTGTATGGTATTACTAATGAAGATGACCACTTGTATAAGCAGAGACATGACTACAGTCAATATGCTAGGTTTAGGTATGTATGGAAACTTTATAAGAGTTAATACTGGCTATAGATGTCAAGAAAAAAGTCTGTGGTTTTAATTTCTACCTTGGCAGTTAAAATTACTATGTATAATAGTTTTTTCTCTGCATCATGCTTCCTGTCACTGATTCTATTTATGTAATTTTGAACTTTACAAACTTGCTAGAAATATAAAGATGATGTCAACTATTAGATTGTTAGATTACGAATTATTAGATTTAATGATAATACCATAATTCCTACACCAGTTAACTGCCTCCGTGGCCGAACGGTTACCACGCCAGACTGCCACGCAGAGGCCCCAGGTTCGATTCCTGCGCCGGGAGAAATATTTGTATGACCTACATTTATTTCTCTCGTGAGTTTGGGTGTAATTTGTGGTTGTCTATGTGTGTCCATGGCACCCGCGACACAGGGTTTCCCTAGTGCGGGGCTATGTTGAGTGTGTGCGTTATTATTATTATTATTATTATTTAAAACACACTCTAAAGTCAGTACACATAGGTTTTGTATAATTCTTTACAAAGTTATTTACAATATGTATTTTATTGTAATTTAGTCATACAGATTTGTTTTTTTTTTATAATATCAAGTGACGATACGAAGTCGTGCGCGTGATAGTAAGCTACTCGCCCGTCCATAACATTTGATGATTGATTGATGATTCAATCATCAAATGATTTTTCGATCAAAATATTTTTAATGTAGTTTTTAAACTTAGGAAATGATAAACTTAATACATGCTCCGGAATCTTATTGTAAAAGACCTGAGGGGCACTGCCCCGGCGCCCATCACCCTGAGACATAATTTGACAAGTCCCATGTGCCTGTAATTTCACCAGCACCCTTCAAAAACCGGAACGCAGCCATGCTGACATTACTGTTTGGTGACAGAAATAGGTAAGGTGGCAGTGTTTCACTGGATGAGCTCTTTCACAAGGAGCAATATTGCTACTAGATACTTAGCCATACAATATTAAACCAAATAATCATTAAAATGTCTCCTGTAAACTGTAAGAGAATATAATATTTTTAAAGCAAGAATGTAAACAGAGAGTTACTCATCTAAAATCCCCCTGAACGCACAACACCTAAAATAGCAGGATCTGACTCACTTATTTGGCTGAGTTCCTGAGATTTATTTTGTGATGATAACTCACCAGCACAAGTTGCATTGTATATTTGCATTGATTTCTTGAGGCTATGAAAAATATGCATTATACTTGTAAAGGAACTTGGAAAATATCTTCTCCACTTTTACTTTAATTTGACCAACTTCTGCCGTCCCAATTTTTTTCTTCCCGTACAATGAAGTCATCCTTATAAGAAACGGATTCTATTAGCATTTAAAAAAAATTGTCAGTTTTATTCATTTTACAAATATTTTATGAAATTTGACCTATTTCTGCTGTCCCGATTTCTTTCATCCCGTGCAATGAAATAATCCCTTCGTGAAACTGACTCAGTCAGCACAAAAAAAGATCGAATTATACATTTTTAAGGACAACTCATGCTTGATTAATCAATCAAGTGATTGCTTGAGTTATTGTTTTCACAAAAACTTTTTCTTGACAATGATACGAGTTGAATGTTGACATGGTCTTGATCCCATATTGTTTAACTACTTGCAATTCTATCTGTACATAATTATTGTTATTTTTTTATCATATCAAGTGACGGGACAACAAGTTATTTGCCTGGTGGTAAGCGACCCGCTTAGTCCATGAAAAAAACCAAATTTTTTTTCACAATTTTGTATAAAACACAGTGCCCTGGTTTTATTTTTTAAATTTCGGTTTTTTTTTATAAAAGTAAAATGGAATAACTGAAATAAAATAAAACACTAACTTTTATTTTAAGAATATATATATACACAAACACACACACACACACATATATATATAATGTGTTATATATATATATATATAATGTTTTATATATATATATAATGTGTGTGAATATATATATAACATGTTTATTAAAATCAATATAAGCGGCTTGCTAATGATTCTGTAATTGCTAATAATAATGTAAATGTTGCTTTGTAAGGGATATGTGCCATGTGGAAAAAAATATTGATATCGCTCTTAAATAAATAAATAAGTAGTGTTTTTGTCAGTAATCATCAAAGTAGCGATGCAATAGCAATTGATAGATTTAAAAGAAAAAGGTAAAATGTTAGAATCCCCACATTTTCCCCAAATAGCGTCAATCCCACAAAATGCCTAATCGAGTTGAAATTCCCCGCAATTTGAGGAATTCGCCACAAATTGACATCATTGTGAGTGTTGCCCATTTATTTTGAGTAATTTAACTATGAAGTACGAGGGGAGGTCCAAAAGTCCGCGGAATGGAGGGGTTGTAAATAATATAAAACAATAAGGCTATTTTTCCTTTTCAATATAATTACCTTTGAGCTCAATACATTTTTTAGATCTCGAAATTAGCTTTTCTATGCCATCGAAAAAATAATTTTTCTCTTTGCTCTCAAAATGAGCTAAAATTGCTGCCTTAACCTCTTCATCGTCGCGAAATTTTTTCCCACGTAATTCTTTTTTCAAATTTGGGAACAAATAATATTCGCTGGGGGCTAGGTCCGGGCTGTAAGGTGGGTGGGTCAGCGATTGAAAGCCACACTTGTGTAGAGCAGCCATCGCAACATTGCTCTTGTGAACCGGTGCGTTGTCTTGCAAATGCAACACACCCTTTGCCCATTTTCCCCGCCTTTTTTCTTTGACTGCTTCCTTCAGTCTCTCTAATGTTCTTGCGTAATATTCTCCCGTTATATTGACCCCCTTTTCTTTGTAGTCAACCAATAAAATTCCTTCACAATCCCAAAAAACCGTAGCCATGATTTTTCCAGCCGATTCCGACACCTTAAACTTCTTAGGGGGTGGTGTACCCTTTTTATGCCATTGCATTGACTCCTGTTTGGACTCAGGCTCAAAGTGATGAACCCAAGTTTCATCTCCGGTAACAATTTGCTCCAAAATTGGGGTAGGTTCTGCGCCACACAGCTCCAAGAAGTGCTTTGATGCATCTATTCTTTGTTGCTTTTGAGGCGGCGTGAGCATTCTCGGCACCCATCTTGCACTGACTTTCGTCATGCCAAGATGATCGTGTAGGATCCTCAAAATGGTAGTGTCTGATACTGCTACTAATGCAGACAGCTGTTTCTTCTTCAGACGGGCATCTTCCAATATAAATTTTTCGATTTTTTCAACATTGTCTGATGTGGTGTCCTCAACTGGCCGTCCTGGGCGAGGATCGTCTTCAATTGATTCTCTGCCATGTTTGAAAAGACCGTGCCACTTGTAAATCATTGTTTTAGCAGGGCACTGATCCCCATAAACAGTTTCCATCTCATTCATAATGGTGTGAGGAGGTTTTTCTTGCTTGGTAAGGAATTTGATGACAGCACGAAACTCGATTTGCTCCATATTTGCAGTTTTCTTCCGGATTTATTTGTTTGTAGGGCGATATCTCGTAAACTAATGAAGTTAAAAGGGTGAAGCTTGATATATATACCCCTAATGAGTATCTGATTAGTACCACATCAAGCAAGCGTAATTAGCGGGCTCCCGCCCCCTCCATTCCGCGGACTTTTGGACCTCCCCTCGTATAATATTAACAACAAAAGAGGAAATGTAGTAAAAAAAATACGATTGTCATATTTTTATTTTCATGCTTTTAGGAAAAAAAGGTTTCTTTTCATGTGTTTTTTCACCACAGAAAAAAAAAGGTTTTTTAACAACACTAGACCTGCTTGTCCATATAACAGTTGCAGTGCATTTACTGTTTTTGTCACATATGAAACATGATTCATAATGACTTCTCAACAATTTTATTGCTGTTATTGGATATTGAGTTTTATACATATTTGTTGCAGTGATGATCCATTTGAGGACATATTTGGCACACACTTCCGAACTCAAGACCAGGACATCACACTGTTCCACAAGCTCTCTGTCACTGCTCGGTGAGTAATGCATACACCATTCTCATATAACATAAGTCATAAGTGCTTTAGAAAGTAAAGGCGTATATTTAAAATGTGAATAATTTTTTTAGTGTAATGAGAGATTTTTGTGGTGGGCATGGTCTTTTTGTTGTGGACTTTCAATTCTAAGTTTTTCTTCTTTTTTTTGGGACTGATTATTACACTTAAATATTACGATTCAGAAGAATCCCATACGCCGCAGTGGGAGGTCTAAGGCCTGGCGCCCACTGACGGGACGGGTTGGCAGGGGATCCTTCGGCATCCCTACATGCAAACGCACACTGATGGCAATTATGCCTCGGTGTCCCTAGATTCCGAAGTCTCCCGTAGGCTGCCGAAGCACTCCCAAGGCTGCCGAAGTATCCCCAAGGCTCCCGAAGCATCCTCAAGGCTGCCGGCTCGCCATCCCTAAGCATACCGCGGCTTTAATTTGCAACTACGACCATTATCATTGAAATTGCAACTGTAGTAACATAATCATAAGGTATATTACTATTCGTCACCTAAAAATCCCTTGTCATCCCGTCCTGTGGGCGCTGGGCCTAAATGGGTTGATGGTGCTGATGCTAATTAATATCGTTAACTCCTTCTTTTACAGCCATTTCGAAAACAACTTAATCGAGAAAAGCATACACACGCCAGCTATAGTTCTCTTTTACACCGACTGGTGTTTCGACTGCGTGCGCGCCGCAGCTGCATGGAGACGCCTAGTTGAAGCTTTGCAACCTCTTGGGGTCACATTAGCCACGGTTCACGCCGGACACGAAGCGAACCTAGCAAGACGGGTCGGTGTACATTTAGTGCCATGCCTCACTTTAGTGTTGGATAAACACGTGTATATATATAAAGAGGGACTGTCATCAATGCCTAAAATTTTGGGTAAGTCATAAGTTAAATTTTATATATTTCTTCAAAAATGTATGTGTTTAATTTTCTTGTATAGTTGGCAAAATATTATTTGCACAAATTCGTCTTAACGCTTCGTCTGTAGAGTACAATAGGACAAAAGAGTGAACAATCTCCGTGCGTTACCGTGCCATCTGTATAGTGCAAACAACTAGTTTAAACACTTTTACGCATTGGCACTTAATTCTAAACTTGATAATCTTTATGCATAAATGACTTGTTGAATTAATAAGAAAAGATTGCATTCGATATTTTACGAAGTACTTTCTGTTAAAAAAAGACGACCTGTTAAGTAAAGAAATAATTGAAATTTGAAAACTGGAATTCAGACAAAGCATGTAGCGCACCCATGACTGGTACGATAGACCAAGATCGTAAAATCCATGTACGCTTTAAGTAAAAAAAAGTGTTAATGGTTTTGTTACTCTATGGTAATAGAGAGGATAAGCCGTTCCTAGAGATAATTTTCATCAGTGCAAATAATATCAACTATACAGTGTCATATTCTCGCACATTTATATGGCGAATGGCTATGGAGTGGAATTCCTCGCCTGCAGACTTATTCTCTGAACGCTATAATTTGGGCCTTTTCAAGGCGAGATTGAATAGAAATAGAAATCATTTATTTCTTGAATAAATAACACAGTACACATATATTTTAACTGCCTCCGTTCCACGAGGTCCCAGGATCGATTCCCGGGCCGGGTGAAATATTTGTATGGCCTACATTTATTTATCTCGTGGATGTAATTTGTGGTTGTCTATGTGAGTGTCCATGGCACCCGCGACACAGGGTTTTAATAGTGCGGGGCTATGTTGAGTGTGTGCGTTATTATTATTATTTTATATAATACATATCCAAAATAATAATAATAAACTGGTATTTTGGGCTACGAGACAGGCGAGAGTCTAAAATAGATATCCATAATAATAATAACGTAACGATAATAGAGTGTGTGTGTGCTGTGCTGTCAAGGAAACCGTGATCCACTCAGCATTTATTTAGATGTGCGTGCGTCATCGTCGACTTTATACTCACTTTCAATCTGGTGAGATGGAGGTATTTTACCTCCACACATGTATTTTAATTAAAAAAAAATCAATGTGCATTGATCCCCATCCAGAATAAATATTAGTATTTTATTCCCACCTGATACACTAGTACTTACAAGCTTAATTTTGGTGATACAGTCAAGAAGAAAATGTATTTGAGGATTGTACTGTATTTTACTTAGTTTATTAGAAATGAACCACATTAACTGTACTTTAACGGAGGTCTTTAACCCTTTGTTATTTTCTTAAATAATACTAAATTACAATTTTGAGCAAAAAATAATATAGGGGGCACATTGTTCATCAGTTGAAAAGTTCTAGGAAAAACTTCGCTTTTAAATATTGTTAAGACTGATTTTTCTTTACTTGTGATTTGCAATATGTCAATATTAATCACCTGTGACAAAAATTTGATTGTTTGTGATAATTATATTTGCCATTGTTTAATAAATGGGAACATTCTCTTGACTCTACTTACCTTACAAATACAATACGTTGGGAGTTGCAAAATATAGAGTGGATCAGTTGGGATTTAAAATTGGCAGTGGATCAGTTGTATAAGAATAAATAATAAGGATAAGAATATATTTATTGCATAACTATAGGTAATTACATATGGTCTTAAAATATTACATTGGTTTGTGCTCTATAGTTTACCAGATAAGGTGTACAATATTATTAAATGTCACAGATTAAAATTAAATTGAATTGAATTACAATATGAAAGAAAAAGAAACAATTATTAATAAACATGTCACATCGCTAGTCACCAAATTTGTCATTATTGTCAAAAAACTCTTGTTGAGCATTTTTAAATTTTACGTACTCGAATTGTTTTAATTCATTCGGGATGCTGTTGTATATCTTGACCGACATTACGTAAAAGCTTCTGTGGTAAAATGCTGAGGTATGATTGCCCGAGTGAACCATTCTATGCCCATGTCTTAAATTTCTATAGTTCCTTTTATTTGCGATTTCAAAATAGGACGGACGTTTCTGTACAAATGCCTCCTTAATATACAGGCAGGGTAAGGGTAGAATTTTGCACTTGTCGAAAAATGGCTTACACGAATCCATTTGAGACCCACCGCAAATAATACGTACACAGCGTTTTAGCATCTTAAAAAACTTCCTAAACTCTACAGAGTTTCCCCCAAAAATTATGGCGTAGTTTATTTATTATGACTGTATAAACCCAAAATAAGCTGTTAAAGCCGCATCCACAGACGCATTCTGTACTAATTTTCGCAAGAGAATTTTTGTAAGAGATCGGATGGGAATAACTCCAGTTGCTACCACCACAGGTCTTCCCAATGTTTTCTGCAGCAGCAGTGGTAATCACAATGAAAGTGATTCTTTAGGTTCAAAGCTGAAAAGATTGAATTTTGATCCACGAAACTTTTCTTGGCAGAGTTCATACGCTGGAGATTCCCGTACAAACTAGTGGCAACAATAAACAATGGCAATGTGGATTCATTTGTCTCTGACTTCGAAGATAATAAGGTGAAGGCGCTAATCTTCGAGGAGCGGCAGACAATACGGCTGCGGTACCTCATCACAGCATTCCACTATAGAGATCGACTGAGTTTTGGGTGAGTCGCTATGATGTCATTTTCTTAGTATAACAATGAAGTTACCATTTTTATGCACGGTTCGAAAGATCAATATATCACTACGTGACAGTGTATCTTCCTAAAACCCAGGAAAGTACAATTGAATATCATGGTCTTGAAACTTTCTGACATTCAATAAAAATTTAATTACTCTAGCCAGGGCTGGTAGCTGTAAAGTTACCTAACTGGGTGGCGAAATGCTTTCATTAGATTTCTTCAAAAGTGGTGCTACGGCTAAAAAGCCGTTGAAAACCAAATACAACGATCCGACAACAAGCACATAGAAAAATTCGCGAGGTCCGCTAGTTCGTGCCATGCCTTAGTCGGCATAACGTCTGGCACGGAGATATCGGTTCGAATCCGGCCAGATCGAAGAATTTTTTTCTAAGTGTTCTATCTTTATATTAATAATTATAACAAATGTTTAGATGTAAATAGTTTTTGCCCTCAATTTCGGACGTTAATGGGTTTTAACCCGATTTAAACCCATCGTTAACGAAGCGTTGGGTTGAAACCCGGGCGTTTGTCCATCTTTGACCACGCCGCTAGTTACTGCGGTATGACGTCGTAACTCCGACGCCGCGGCAGCAAAAACGCCGCCACCGAGGTTCCATGCTAGTCAGCCTTACGTGGTCATAAGATTAATATTTTTTGGATCTGAATAACTGATTAATCCAGCATATCGGAGGCTGTTCATAATTCTTCAAGAATCTCATCCTGCATCAGCTTGATTCCTAATACTTTATACATTACAGTGACATAACTATATTCAATCCACAGCTTCGTAGACATGACGGCTCGCGACACACAAAACGTGACTTCTCGATATAAAGTCCAGCGGAGCATGGATACAATGGTGCTTCTCAAGGAAGACAGCGAAGAACCGGCAGCCACCGTCAGCACTACTGAGATACCTACGCAGACTCTGCGGCAGCTTATTGAAGCCAATCAGATGCTTACACTTCCACGGCTGTCATCACAGGTAACATTAAACAAAAAAAAAAAAATAGACCCACGCTTGGCCACAATCTCACCTGATGTTAAACGACGATGTGACCGAAGATGTTACGCGTTTGCCTAAAAAAATGCCTAATCACTCTAGCCTTGAATAGCCCCAAATTATACTTTTCGGGAAACAGACATGCCAGTAGAGTATTCCATTCCTTTGACGTACGCATTAGAAAGGAGAACGAATGGATCGTATATCAACGACATAACGATGGAGTGTTCCGTACCTTCTAATCAAACGAAGGAGGAATGGTGAGGGTGGAACTAAATTGAAAAGTTCCTGTGGACACTCCCCAGGCTACTTTGATGGTCGAGATTTTGCAGCTTTGACTCCACAAGAGAGACGTTGTTAATAAGTCTCTTTGCTCGTAGCTCCATCGAGTCCAAGGCAGCTATGGACAGAGCTGTCCCAATGGTGGCAGCAGTACTCTTTACACGGTCAAACTTGTACTCTATACACATTTAAAAGCTGTTCAGATGTGAAGTACTGCCTGACCATTTAAAGTTGTAAACAATATGTTGTTTGGTATTGAACGCTTCTGTTCTATAGTAGTATAACATGAGGGTATTATTATTGTTAGAGTGGCTTTGCTGGGCCCATATAGCCCATCATCACTGCGACCTGTAATTGGTCTATTGTAATACTGATTACAATTTAGGGCCAAGACCAATGTTAAGAAATGAAAGATGTCCTGGCTTCGGCTGTTGTGATCATAGTACAATAGAACTGGTTAGTTAGCGTAGTGCGCGTGCCAACTGTAGGCGTCGTTCCGTCTACTTGAGCTTAGCCTAGTTAGTTTTAGCTAGTTTTTTTGTATAATTAAAAATAAGGTACTTAATTAATAACCTTTTTGTAACTATACTGAAAAAATAGGCAAACCACTTGCATTAATGTTAGACGTAACTGGTTGATGACTGTACCACCTCAGTCAGCCGTGACCATGGGACCTGTAAAGGGCCCGAAACGGTGTTTTGTTTGAAAAAACAAATATACGCGATTTAAATCCGGAAATAAAATGGTTTAATTTCCTAAGTAGATAAAAGACAAAGTAAAAGAGCATGTATATTTAAAAAAAAATAAAAAATTGTTCATATATTTTTAGGTAATAAGTTTTCCGTGACAAATTTTACTTTTTGTTTTAAATTAGGCGGAGTACAGTGCATTATTATATGTAGTTGTCCGAGATCCTTGATCTCATATATCAATAGCGATTACCACGTTGCCCGTCCACAGAGCATGCTGGAGACGGTGTGCCCGGTGGAGTGGCGCGCGAACCGGCGCCGGCTGTGCTGCATCCTGTTCTGCAGCGCGGGCGCATCGGCCGACGCGTCGCGCGCGCAGCTGCGCCGCCTGGCCCGGGACGCGCCCGAGCGCCTGCAGTACGCCTACATCTACACGCACGCGCAGCCCGGCTTCGTGCAGGCCCTGGCTAATGGCTCGGGTGGGTAGCGTCTCTCTATGTTCTTTTGTTGCACACTTGCGTGGGCAAATCGTTTTAAGTACGTGGGTAAACACTCTGAATTACGCGGGTAAATGATTTTTTTACTAGACTGTATGTCGGTTATGTAAGCAAAAATTTCTAATCTCATGTATTGAATCACATATTTTTTTATAGTAATCAGCAGCGAAATCACAAAACCCTTTTTATTATATAAAACCCAGTTATTCCAACCGATTCAAGTAAACAAATGGATTCATTTAATTAACAGATCTGTACTTGACAGTACAGTTAGCCATCACTAAAGTGTCTATGGTCGGGTCAATGTTCTGTTTGTTTACTTTTCTGGCATAATGGATTGCAACAGACTTTAATAAAACGATCAAACGGTCAAGCCCTAAAAACGGGTTCCATATTTTTAGATGATAATCAATTGTGGTTACAGGCAGCGACAGCTCCAAAATGGAACATCGCATAGTAATAATCTGGCGGCGCGAAGCAACTCGCATACAATACGAATGGCTCAACGAAACTTGGCCAACGTGTACAAACAAATACTGCAATACCGATCAGCCTGACCCCGGATATTTAGAGGAAGCCTTGAAGTACCAAGAGAGACTGAACGAGACCAAACAAGCCTTGGAGTTGTTGATTAAAAGACTGTTGAAACCGACTGAGGTTATGGCTTATGAAGCTCAAGTACAGGTTAGTTTCTAATATACAAGATTATTTGTAAAACACTAACAACTTCGGAGGACCATAAACTGACCCGAGTGTGGCAGCATACGCATATAGCATACGCTGATTCGTGACCATTCAGATCGAAGAAATTTTTCTTTGTGTTCGATCTTTATATATTAATATTGTCATATAAACGTCATGATATTCAATAAAATAAATAATTTTACGAAATTTTAAATCCCCGTAGTATTTCGATGACTAATTACATCTGCACAGAGAATAAATAGCATTATGAAACAACGTGCACAATTACATATTACCAGTGATCCAAATTGAGGAAGTTGATTTATCTAAAGTATGAACGGTTTCTTAGTATGGACATACCCATTTCGTCATCAATGCGTATAAAATATCTTTTTAATCGACTTCAAAAAAAAAGGAGGATGTCCTCAATTCGACTGTTATTTTTCTATGTATGTTACGCGATAACTTCGGAATTTGTGAATTTGATGGTTCTTTTTTTGATGAAAAGAGGGAACGTCAGGAGTGGTCCCATTTTAATATGCAGAAAATGTTCCACCTCTAAGGGTGGCAAACTAGGGGATGAATCCGGTTTCGCGCAGTTTCTTGCAACTGATTTCAATAAAACTTGGCAAATGGATGTAATTCCACGCACTTTTGGGGTCGATTTTTTTAGTACTCTGTACTACGATTATTTTACTGTTTATTTTATAAACATTTCAAAATAAAGGTTGTCTCAAGTTTATTTTTTAAACGGCTAAGTATTTAAATACATAAATACCTGTAGTAACACAACTACAATACTATTTTGTGAGACAATAATTTTTATCAAATACTTACCTAATAGGAAAGAACAATTTGTCGCCAATATATTCAAACATAATAAGTTCCGGGAAGTCCCGGGATTTGTAGAAGGAATGTCCACATTATTCTTTAGCTAAATTGACTCCCCAATAGCGATCACTGCATATCAGGTATCAGTGGCGAGGTGTCCATATAATTCGACTCATTCCGGCTTGTCTAAAATTTTCCACGTATTAATAAATGACTGTGTTCAATATTAATAAACGCGTAGTAACTTGTCCCGATGGATCTCAACCAATCACAGCGCGAACCAAGCTGTCGGGTCTTCGACTTCTATTTCATTCATGAATTTAACAAAATGGCGGCCGCTAAGCCGAAACAAATCCGGTTACAGTCGAATAGCGTATACATAAATTTAATTTATTTCAATCTTTTTACAGTTAATCGATTTCTTTTAATGTCAGAATCGTTGCCAGAAATATTGTAACAAAATTATTATAATAACATTAATACAAATGGTTAATTACTATTTTGTAAATCTTAAATTATAAATAGTGTTATTTACGAATATGCAATATAAGTTTGGATAATTCTTTTTAATAAGGCTACGTAAAGAACTTAGAAGGTCATGTTAATTCGTAATTAAAATAGCAACATTTAGCATTCACGAAAGTTTGTTTATTATCAAACATTCGTATCGCGACAGGCAGTAGAAAATGAAGTGAATTACTTTAAAGCGATAATTATTAAATTTTGTTAGTTTGTAGGATGCGACCCGCTGCTCCCACGTGCCCGCGAATACGTCGCCGTTGCTCTACGCAAGTACATTCGTTGTCCAACTATATTTTCTTCAGATCTTCATATAGATACTTCTAATGTCTTTAACAGGAATTGGTTGACGAAGCCGCAGCGAGTGCGCTTTGGACCGGCGTACTGAAGTTATGCGAATGGGCCGAACGGGCCGCGCACGCCATGCGAGGCCAACGGGCCGTCTCCGCCATCTCCGTCCTCGCCACCGTCGGGGTCGTGCTCGGTGCGGGATACTTCATGGCGTATCTCATGTAAGACATCCACTCATGTAGTACATCATCAATCTGTACCTCCCACTGCTGGACACGGACCTCCTCTACGGAGAGAGTTTAGGTATACTTTTCAGCTAGCAGCTTGTGGATAAAGTACACTCGAGTATATAACCAGAAATAGAGACGAAATGTCATTTTATTTGTTTGAAAACTGTTCTGCCAAATCATTACGGTGACGGCCAGCCCGAATTCGCTTGCAATCGTCCAGTTTAACTTCAGCTTTGCAATAACGGACGTTGAATTGAAAAATTACATATTTAATATTTAATTACCAATGAAATGTTCTATGTAAATGTTCAAATTCCGTTTTGTAATTAGATGTTTTGCTGTTTTTCCCACACCAGCGAATGGAGGCCCCCCCAATCCCGATTATCTTTATTACAACAAATACAGAATATTTTTGGAATATACGGAGACCTACACACAGGTCAGTTGTTGGCGCTGTACTGTTACAATTTTCTAATTTGTGATTTCAGCGCAAACGAGAGTTGATATTTAAAAGTGATAGTGATGTAAGACCCATTTGCCTGGTGAGTTGTCAGGGATGCCTGGCCCTTATTTCATCTCTATTTCTGGTTATATACTCGACGCCAACGCTCTACGTGTGCAATACAACAACGCGTTCAGGGTGCTGCTGAAGCAAGCGCCACACGTCTCTGGCGCGCAGACTGCAAGCACCAACAACATTCTGAACGTGTTGCAAACAGTCTCCACTGCCCGTCTCTTGCTTATTGCGGCAGGGTTCATATAAATAATTTTAATAATAATAATTTCTTTGTTCATTTAATACTTTTTTTATGTTGAGCAGGATGTTATAAAATTATTAAAATGATACTATTCTAATTTATATGTAACTACCAATGGTATAAATAGCTAAACTAACACCAGTGCTCTGAGTTGGTACAAATAAGATAAAAGTTAATTATTAAGATAAATGGGATATATGTATTATTCCTACTATATATATATTTTTATGATACCTACTGCGCCTGTAACTGTGAAACCTCCCACTTGAAACAATTTTGTATTCTGTTTACTTAAAAAATGCTTAAAATTAACAACTTGTTTTTCACAGTCGTATAGAAGAAGAATCAATACAAAGGCAAAAGGAAGAGCGGAAAAAACAAAATGGCGGCGCGAAGAAGAATAACAACGAACCTGTGCCCGAACTCAGGCTACATGAACTGCGGGCGGAGAAATACAACGGGCTTGTTAGGTAAGTGGATTTATCATATTTTCATTTTAGTAGGAAATAATAATATGATAAGAGGTGATGGGACTAAATCTTGACACAGAATTATAAATTGTAATATTGTGACTGTATATTATATTCTTTTCATATACGTTGTCATATACTGTTAGTCACGGGTTGTCTCGATGCGGGTTTAAAACGGACTTAATGTTGATTTTTATTTGATATGAACTTTGGAAGTACTTTTTTATGATTTATATTATAAAAAAAGTACTTCCACTGACCATTGGTTATTATTTACGTATTTCTAATTACTCTCATGTATTGAACTGTATTAGAAATGTTTTCCTCGCTTTTTCCCAATAATTTATATATATACATACAAAGCAAAGCAAATGAAACTATTTTTCCGGATTTAAATCAGTTGACAGTCAACCGTGACCTTGGGACCTATAAAGGAGCCCGAAATGTTGATTTGTTTGAAAAAACAAATATACGCAATTTAAATCCGAATAAATAGCTTCATTACCTATGTGTAACAATCGCGAAAACCTAAGAACTCGATATATATATATATATATTTGTTTTTATTATTTCTTTTCATCTCGTTTGTCGCGCTCAATTTTTACGTTGATAAAATTACTGTGCACAACTGTCAAAATGTTTTAAAATCCGCTGTGACCTTCCAGTCATGTTTGGCACTGTGTTAATCTTTTGCACTAATTGGTCGCGACGCTCGCGATTACATAAAATTGTGACGTTACGATGCTCGTTATGTCAAGTATTGTGATAAAATTTTAAAATGCCGGTTTATCACTCGAATTTGAGAGCGATGTGTGACTATAATAGCTTTATCGAGGCGGCATACTACTGGGGATGGATATTTTAAATACACGTCTCATTATTAACTTTCTGCCGCCAAGCAGTATTGTGAGCATTATTGAACTACGTTTCGGTTTTAAATTAAAATTACTGGCACATTAGACTTGTCAACTTATGCTATCTCTAGTAGTCTAGGGTCACGGGCCGGTAGTAGTGTCCCTCAGATGATTGCTCATCATATTTAAAGCTCGTGACTGGCATCGGAACTGCTATGAACAGGCGTGTCGCTTGCCACCAGGCACACGACTAGTTCGTCCCATCATTTGGTATATTAAAAAGAAAAATCACACACAAGTGTTACAACGTTTAATATTGTTAGTCCTTATTTTAATGTAAGATCTGCTCGTTGTGTTGAGAATATTATTATTATTATGCTATTTTGCAGGTTATTGAAGCCAGGATGTCGTACAATAGTGTTATTGGTCGACGCGCAGAGCCGGCTGACGCTTCTTTCTAAGTTCCACAGGATTGTGTGGCCTTATCGCAAGTAAGTAGCGAGAATGTAAGAAGAGAGTATCTCTTCGTTAATGAGAAAAAAGAAAATTTGTTTTGTGATATAAATATCTGTATTTCGTAGGTAAACAAATTACACTTGAAATCAGCAAGTAGATAAAACACTCCTATCCATTCGTGAAGCAAATTCCCGCGAGAAAAAGAATAATGGCAAATGCAAAATCATTATTAAAAGAATTTCTTAACGTCTTCAAATGTCATAATTACATATTTGTGTAAAATAAATTAATTAGGTTTTTAAAATTACTCTAAAGACTTGTGTAAGTTTGGTAATAAAATCATATTTAAATGAAACTCAAATTACTAATTAGTATGTAACCGGACTGACTTAACAAGGAGCGACATCTAACCGCCAAAAATAGATTTTTTTTAATACCTAAGAGAGATGGATCCTCATTAATTTGTTCACGTAATATTTAATACACTGATTCAATTCGTCCCCTATCTGTAAAAACAACGTGAGTTAAAGGCTCAATTTGTATTGCAGCGGAAAGGAATGGAAGCGAATTTTTGTAACGATATCATCATAATGAACTTTATGGTCAATTGTGTAATGTACAAACTAGATACGAGCTAAAATTTAACGCGGAATTCTCGCGCATTCTCGAGAACGCTTCCGCATTTTGCAGTTTATACATTACACAATTGACCCGTAAAGTCCATTATGCTGTACAATTTCGTTACGAAAATTCGCTTCCATTCCGTTCCGCCGTAATACAAATTGAGGCTAAGGCTCTTGTCGCATCGGATTTATAAAAAGACAATGGCGGACATGTGCAGGAACAAAACGCTGCTGTTCGCGTTCCTGGTGGTGGAGCGGAACATCGAGTGGTTCCGGCGCGTGCTGCAGCTGTCCCTGGGCGCGCGCGCCTTGGGCGCAGGCGGCGCCGAGCTCAAGGTCAACGCCCGCAACTGCATCGGCACCGTGCTGGCGCTCAACCCGCACCGCAAGTACTTCTGCATCTACCACGCCAAGCACCCGGAGTGCGCCAAGCCGCACAAGGTACACCCGCCTTTCCACCCATTGACCTACCAACAAATGGACGTCGGGTCTAACACAAAAACCACGAAAAAAATGTCCGAAGTTAACCTATACAAACGTAGTGACATGTAACGAAATATTAAAAAACTAAAACATTTAATTTTAACGTCATTGCAGTACTGCCTAATTTAGCTTGCAACAATTTAAAGGGCCCAAAAAACACCATATTCAGCTTCTACTGGAAGCTTAACAAAATGCACCATATTTAGCTTCGACTGAAAATTACTTGAACACAAGAGTAATGGAGCAGCCTTTACTGTAAATATCAATTATTTTTTACGTATATTATTATGTCCAATTTTGTACAAATTCACTTCAAGAAATAATAAAGAGTTGGGCGGACATACAAATATTACAAATGTGAAAATAAGCGTGTACTATAAGAAATGTACCGATATTCCAACTAAACGTAAACTCAAATATCCGTAATTCCGAAAACCGATTTATAATAAAACCGTTACGCTTTCAAGTAATTTTGATGCTTCGCACAAAACAAAAATAATTTGCTTTTGTTTTGTAATATTCATAGAAAAATACATTTGACATTATGAAAATTCGAGCCAACGTTATTTCGGGCAAATGTATTTTCTGACTTCTGATAGGTAATCCCTAGCCATAAAACGAGTACAACAATATTTTGTTAGTTATCGCTAACGTTTAATAAAAAGTCATTTAAAAAATAAGATTAAAATCAACACGACTCTATAGTTTCTTTGTTCCAAATATTTCAATCGCTCATGGTTCGAACAATTGAAAATGACCAAGAAGTTTATATAAGCTTCTTGAAATTGACGTAATGAGTCTCTTTCCATCTTTTGCGCATGCAATGTGTAAAGAAAAAAGAAAAGGGACAGTTAGCGATTTAATTATTTTGTTTGGTTTTGGAATTTATATTTACGATTAATTTATATATAAATTAAATACTATACAACTGTACAAAATAACACTTTTAAATGATAACTATGATAACACAACATATTTGTTTAGTGAAAATATGATACAAAATCCTGTTTATACACTTTACTGCAGTAATTTTTACAAATTATTATTATATATTGTACTGCATAATTGACAACCGCGCTGTCAGTCGAATAAACGAAGACTGCTGCGCGATTGACGCTCTGTATGCGATTTTAACGCCTTATGGGTTCGGACACTTCTAAGTGCGAACGACGTCCATTTGTTAGTAGGTCAATGTTTACACCCGTCATTAATTTCCTCGAGTCTTCGTTCCTCCTATTCTAATTCTACTAGTGTCGATGCTTCTTTTATTTACTGCCTCTGTAGTCGAACTGTTACTGACTGCCACCCAGAGGTCCCAGGTTCGATTTCCGTGCCGGGAGAAATATTTGTATGGCCTACATTGGGTGTACTTTGTACTTGTCTATGTGTGTCCATGACACCCGCGACCCAGGGCTTCTCTAGTGCGGGGCTATGTTGAGTGTGTGCGTTATTGTTATTATTTAAGAGTCGATCCAACCTCAAATGGCTTTGGTTGATTTCGCATAACAGTGAAAGTGTAGAATCAATGACATTGGAAAAAATATATAGTAAAAGTGTGTATTTTCTGATAGTATACGGTGTTAAATCACGATTCGTAAAAATTTTTAGTATAGCGAAAAAAAACACAAACTTACCTCGAAATTTTACAAGAACACTTTATTTACACGTATATTATACGATATACATATTTCAAATGGCTTTAATTTCGTTTGTAAATAAATAAATTCTGAAATAAGGCCTTGCCCTTCCGCTCGGCCCAAGCAAAATGAACCGTATTAGTACGGGAGAAAATTGAATTCGAGCTGAGGTAATATGGGCTCTTAAGGACTGACTTTAAAATAATATATAACGACCCCTCCTACGAAAAGTATCGTATGCCGAAATTGCCAAGTTTACAAGGAATGAGCATAACACGTGACTTTAGCATTTCTCAGTTACTCACACATAGTATTATAATCCTTGATATCGGTTAGATGAACAACCACAATTTATTTTATCATTTTACAATTTGTTTTAGCATTTCTATGCTAAAGTCACGTGTAATGCTCATTTCAATGAATTTAAAATTTTAAAACGCTCCCCTGTAAACTTGACAATTTCGACATACGATAGTTTTCGTAGGAGGGGTCGATATTATGCCAGAGAACCACACCAATTTTAACTGCCACCATGGCTGAACGGTGACCCGATTCGATTCCCGGTAGGAGCAATTTGGTAACGAGAAGTTTTCTAAATTGGTACGTTCGAATAAGCCGCGACTGAGAAAGGACGTGTTGCAGCGCATGTCCCGCATGACGCGGTCGCTGGGCGGCGCGTGCGCAGAAGACCCCGAGGCCGGCGCCTTCATCGGCTTCCACACCGACCCCGACTCCTCGTCGGGCGAAGACGCGCCCGCGCAGCACACGGGGCCGCTTCTGCTGGGTATGCATTTTCATTTAAACATACCATTACAATTAAGGTTTACATGAATTCCTGAGGATGTAGGACGGAACCTACCTGGGCGCAGTTGTTTGCACAGGCTGGATTCTGAACATTTAATGTTGGGTCAATCCGTTTTGTCGGAGCCAACCAACATGTAGTGCCGTGAAGATTTTGTAAACATGTTAGTTAGGTAAAATTTTGATTTTTTTTGTTAAGATTTATTATTAGGTGTGAAGGCACTCATGCTGTTATCAGAGTGGTTTTCCATTTTTTTTCTCGCTAGGCGTGTATTATTGACCGAGTAGATGATATCTCCGTAAGATAACCCATCTTAATTACTTCTCTTATTATTCTTAATTCTAGAATCACTTAGCAGTCAACATATACAACAACATATTTCTTTTCACAGTCGGTAGTAAAACGACAGTTACCTGGAAGACATTTGATGCACTGACACATTTTACCCTACATACGTCTATCCGAAAGCATTCGTATCGTGTACATACTCATAATTTTCTCGTCTGCAACAGACATGACATGTTTTCGTGGCTAGATCCGACAAGGTTCTTGTCAAGTACAAGACCATTCTCGTCTTTTCTGTAGCAGACACGTCGAATTTCTTTAGCGCCCTTATGGACACGCGTGTCCCTTTTCACCAGGCCGACGACAGACGAACAAGTTACTTGGTGTCATAAAAAAAATTCAAATAACGCAGTAGAAACTATACCCATGTGAAATCTTCATTCCTACAGATAACCTGCTTGATGGACTAGAGAACTGGTTGGATCGCCTCTTCGAGGGCAGCACGCACCGCTACTACATCAACTATTGGCCCGATATGACGACGAAATGAGCAACATGGCCACAACAAGAAATTGATCATCTCGGGTTGCTCCAGTAAGAAAGTGTCATTTTAAAGAAACGATTGGCCACTTTTGGCTGACGTTCAACTTTTCTTCGCTGTTGATTTTTCCCGTTTGAACTTGAAAATGAATCCATGGTAAAGGTCAACGCGCATTTGTCGAGATTAATTGACGGTGATGGCGTCATCAGCATTTTGTTAATAATTATAGTCTGTCTTTTTTGAAGATGGAGGAAAATGACATTTGTAGGGTTGCCAGTGTTCATAAATAGTTACGTGTTGTTGTCGATAGTTTTATCGATAGATCGTGAAAAAAAATAAAATTTTGCCAAAAATGACTGAGTTGTGAATGTTACGGCGTTCTAATTGCGTTATTTATTTATTTAATTATTTGTAATCAGGTTAGAAAAACCCATAAATACATACCGTAAAGACTAACATACATATTATTAATACAATAAAACACTTATCGACTAATTATTATTTACACTCATTGTCTGCGACTTGTGTTATTGCCTAGTTTATTCTTACTTTGACAGTTGACCTACTAGTATCGAGATTAATTTCTATTCATATACATTTTAACAAGAATACCCGGCTTTGATTATCTATATTGAATTTAAATGAAAAAAAAAATTAAATATGTCTCCTCTTTGTGTTTTTCGTAAACATAGTTTTAAATAAAGTGTATGTTTGTATGAACTTAAAAAAATTGATAATTGAAATGATCTTGTGCTCAGTAATTCGATGAGTAATGGGTTGAGGATGATTCAAATTCATTCAAAACAAGTTCGGCTATTTACTCCATAAGCGTGACCAATATTCAGTCGATAGTCAATAGAATATTTATCGCCAACAATCACTAGCTGCTTGCAAGCGAGCAACATTTTTCGCAATTAACTGTCATTTTACTCCGTCTTCAAAAAAGACAGACTATACCCAATGTTTTAGAGCGAATGCAGATGTTTACTTGTCAGTGTTAAAGTATATTGATCCCTGTAAAAACATGTCCTCTGAAGGTCTGAAGGTTTTAAATTGTCACTTATAATTTTTAAATGATTATGGATTGATTTTATTTTTTAGAAACGATGATACTCTTTTTGTTTATTTTATTTATAAATGTTTTCAATATAGTGCCATACTACGCAGTTTTTACTGGTCTTGCCCACTAATATGTATATTGTTGTTTATTTATTGTTTATAATTGAAACGTTAGATGGAAATTACCTTGTTTTTGGGCAACATTATGACCATGTAAAATTTACGTAGTACCTATTGCATACTGCCAACCGCGCCCTGTCAAACTTGTGTGAGAACATCGCGGTGTGTGGAGCTCCTTACATGAAACTTGCGTTTTTTTTTCTATTAATATTTTACTCGGTGTATATTTTTGTTGAAACAAATAATTTAATTTTGTGTTGTATTCACATTCAAACTAAACTAAAAAAGCCGCTGATCTTTTACGTTTTCGTGCTACCTTTACATGATTAATATAGAATTATGGTTTGGTTAATTTGACCGTTTTTTTTTTACTTGTGTTGTCTTTTATTTGTTTTCTAATTGCGTGAGAGATTAAACAAGTAAAATTTCAAGCAATCGGTTTTAGTCACGCTGGAATGAAGCACGCTAATTAAGATAATAAAGTCTGAATGGTCAGTGGTTTTTCAAGTCGACTGTACATCACATTACCGAGTCTTTTAGAGTAAAATAAATTCATTTTCAATCTCTTTATTCTTTGGTCTCCGTTGACTTCTTGAATTAATGAATTTTGTAATGTGATAGGAATGTTGATTTAAACGTGGCCAAAAGCAGTTTATTATAGCAACTTTCTTCGTAAGAGTTCGAATTGTTTCACGAAAGATGCAAGTATGGAGTTACTTTAGAACCAATTCTGTTATGCAATCGTGCTGTATAGAAATAAGTCGTTTTCTACTTCCTTTTATTTCGAAAACATATTGTACAGTACCTATAGTCTGTCTTTTTTGAAGACGGAGTACAATCACATTTGTAAGGTTGCCAGTTATACAAAATTTTAAATAGTTATGTAGTTGTTCTCGATAGTTTTATCGATAGATTGTGAAGGACGGTAAAATTTTGCCAAAAATGACTGAATTGTGTATGTTACGACGTTCCAATGATCTTTAATTGCGTTATTGCCTCCTTTATTCTTATTTTAACAGTTGGCCCACTAGTATCAAGATAAATTTTTATTCATATACATTTTAACAAGAATAGCCGGATTTTATTATATACAAATGAATTTAAATGACAATCTTTAAAATATGTCTCCCCTTTGTATTTTTAACCGACTTCAAAAAAAGGAGGAGGTTCTCAATTCGACTGTATGTTTTTATTTTTTGCATGTATGTTACGCGATAACTCCGGTATTTGTGAACCGATTTTGATGATTCTTTTTTTGTTGGAAAGTGGGTACCTCCATAGTGGTAATTTTGAAGAAAATCATCCACCTCTAAAGAGTGGTTGTTCACGCATGAAGATTCATTTTCATAAATAACGCCTAAATTTTATAATAAGGAGCAATTATTTTAATAGTTGAATTTGCTATTCTCCAATTCAAGGCGTTTTTCTATACTTTGTATAGTGAACAGATTTTTATTATCTCCTGTGTCAAGTTCCGTATAGTGGCAAACTAGGGGACGAATCCAGGTTTGCGCACTTTCCGGTAACTTATTTCAATAAAACCTAGCAAATAGATGTAATTCCACGTACTTTTGAGGTCGGTTATTTTAGTACTCTGTACTCAGATTATCAGTAAACATAGTTCTAAATACAAATAATATAATAATAACGCTCACACTCAACATAGCCCCGCACTAGGGAAACCCTGTGTCGCGGGTGCCATGGACACACACATAGACAACCACAAATTACACCCAAACTCACGAGAGAAATAAATGTAGGCCATACAAATATTTCTCCCAGCCCGGGAATCGAACCTGGGACCTCTGCGTGGCAGTCCGGCATGGTAACCGTTCGGCCACGGAGGCAGTTATAATACAGTATTTGTATATATGAACTTACAAAAATTGACAATTTAAATGAACTTGTGTTCGTACTTGGATGAATAATGGGTCGCAGATGATTCAAATGGAACAAGATCGGCTATTTATTCCATAAGCGTGACCAACACTTTCGTGAAATAAACTGTTATTTTACTGCGCCTTAAAAAAGACAGACTATAAGAAAGCGCAATGTGGAAAAAATAATAACTATTTCTATCAGATTGCCCGTGGTCCACCGAAGTGAACCAGACAGGTGGTCCATGGGTAAGAAGCGAACGTAGCGTCTAGTTTATTTAGTAATACGCCTGACAGAGTTGGTATATTTTGTTTTATTATTACGGTCATTCAAAGTTTAGTGTTCACTACTTAATATCCGTGGGAATTTTTATTATTAAAGTATTGGAATATAAATAATATTGGACCATATCGCGTAATATTATTTAATAAATAATAAAAATTGCCACGATAATACGCCAGAAACCACTACACCGTGAATAACACATTAATTATACATCTTTGCTTATTACGAAGCTATTGTATAAATGTTTGTATTATAATTCTGACTATAGTTTTTGTGGATATATTGTTGTTTATTAACGTTATGTACCGTTATTATAATTACTGTTTTATTGTGCACACTTCGACAATTTACTTTTTTTTAAACACAAACGCCCGCAAGTTTACGTAAGAAACATTAAAAACCCGATTTTAAAAAAGGAAGGCTCCATATTCGCATTTTGTTATGGAGACCTGAAGATAATGAATTTTAAAATGTTAACTTTTACGGTAGTTATAAATAAATCAAAGGACGAAAAAGTGCCTACCCCCTAGAACGCAAACTGACACCATGCGTCAATAATATTGACAATTGAATAGTGAAAAGGGCTAACCGGTACTTGTGTTGAAATGGAGTTACACTTACCACAGATTGCTTAATAGTTAGTACGTAACAGATACATCACATACAAAATCGGAAATAATAGCGTATTAAATCTGACTAATGAAACCGGGCCCTCACTACGAGGAAACTCACTAGGAGGTGAAAATAACGTTCCTCGCCGTGTGCAGTCGTGCGGAACCAAATGCTGGAGTTGTACAGATATTGTAATGTAAATGAAGGACTTAACGCGGCGATACACTCAGGTAGGCACTTCTCGCGTAACCTAGAGCGAGTGACGGAGCCCTACACTTAGGTAGTGAAATGGATAAAATACTTCTCTCTATCTAACACTTTAGACATTTTTGTCTTGTTTTTGTTTGTGTATATTTACAGAGGAACACTGGGCGAAGAAAGACTTGAATGCTTAATTCATACTCTAAAGAGTTAAGCACTATAAGTCTCTGTCGATAAAACAGACAAGCAAATTAGTTTAAACGATTTTAAAGAGATGTCGCTACTATGCTCCAAATCTAAAAAGCGGAAGAAACAAATTTGACTATTGTGAAGTCTTTGAGAACACGAGGTATTTTTATTACAATACCATCTACCACACGCAAAATAGACTAGACGTCCAGTTGCAGACACAAGCCCGTTACTCCAAGTACCAAAATGCCTTTATAAGAAACGCGGTTACTATTTCTCTTATCGCATCTCTTGGGGGAAGAGAAACGTTAGGCCAATATGCACGTTTTCGGCGAATACTAGTGATGCAAAATAATTGTCATAACGGAATCAGAAACGGATGTCAAAAGTAAATTTTGGCGGAAACGGAAGCGGAAGTGTAAATACTTTTAGTTGTTATTACACAACACGAAACTACTAAAAAACGCGCGCTCCATTGGCGTATAATCCACACTAGCGCTTGATGTATCGCAAACATTGACTTCCGTTAAAAGTTGCGGAAGCAGTAACGGAAACAGGTGTGAAAAAGCATGCGGAACTTACGCACTTGCGGAAGCAGAAGTCTGTTGCATCATTAGCAAAGACATTGTAAATACTGAATTTAGCGTAATGCAAGTTTAGTGTACTTCAAAACTCTTAGAGACCAACCACCACCGGACTATATCTACAAATTTTACTACCTAGGTGTAACACATTTTCAACCTAAGTGTCATTCAGCCCCTTTTGCCTTTCAATTGTCGATATTTAGTTGAATTATTAGAAAAATTATAATACAATTCACACTTTTGTACGGATCGCTGCATATAAGCAGTTTTCACTTTTCACAATGTACTCTTGTAACTTTTAAACAATATCAGTCACAATAACTAGTAATTAAGACAGTATTTATTATACATGGCACTATTAAATACATAATAATTATGTACGTTCTTATCCGTAGTCTACTTTAAAACTAGGCAGAATATGGATTTCCTATTGAAACGCAGCAGTTATTTTTTTCACAGTTCTGTACATTTGCGCGCGAAAAAGGTCTATGATTAAAATTAAAAATAATGGCTCCCTCACCCAGTGGTCGGAATAGTGTTCCAAATAAGTAGATATATGTGTACATAAATGATACGAGATTACATATAGTGGTTAGAATCACCGAATATTAATTAATTACTTTTTCGAATTTCGGAATTCTGGAAGTAGCTTTACTGCACCATAATATAGGAAGCTGGAGT